TTTGCTATGCATGTGTAGCCCTACTTCTTGGTAAGAATTTTCCACAAGACTGGATGTGGAAGGAACAGCCAGTAGCTTGATACCCCTTCTTGGGTGGGAGAACTCTTGTGACGCATGCAGCATTTTTGCTGAAACAAATTTGGGTAACTGGAAAGCAACTGTGGATTAATTAAACAAACTGGGCAGTATCTAAAAAAATAAATAAATAAAATAAAATAAAATATACCCACATAAACCTTTCTAAATTACAAAATTTAGTAATGATCACTCTACTAAATGTGTTTAACATGGCAACCTGAAGTGGGTAGGTAACCAGAGAGCCTACTTGGCATACTGAATAAAGTCCACCTGTTTAACCAGTGAAACATTCTGAACTAAACATGATGCTTTCCTGAGCTAGTGTCAAGGCCTGACTAAAGGATTAGTGTGCATGTATGGATTTGTTTTTGGTGGTTGTTTTTGTTGTGGTTTTTTTGTTTGTTTTTTTTGTTTTGTTTTTAATTAACTCTACAATAGTGTAACCTTTGCATGCTCTTGGGCACTCAGCTTGGCAGTCAGTTTCTGTCCTTTGCAGAACATGAGTAACATCCTAAAAAAAACTGTAGTGCTCAAGTTGCATAGTATGTCAAGCCAGTTCTGTAACCCCATGTCCAACACTTGAAAGCACCAAGTGCACAATGGTCCTGCTTTTTCAGGAGGAAGTGGCAATGTGTGGTAGCATTTTTCAAATAGAAAGCAGCTACCACTCTTGGAGTAGATCTGGGTACCAGGAGTCCATCTGGTGACACTCTGCTTTTGATGTCCATATCTCTAAAAATGGGGCTTCATCCCAATTTCTCTTGAGGGTAGGGGGAGAGAGGTCCCCCTCTATTTGAAGGGCAGTTTACTCTTCCCATGAGCAGATGGACTTCATCTTCCTCTATGTAGAACAGTTTTAATATTTCATAGCATTCCACAGTGGGCTGCAGCTCTGTAGGGTTGCCTGGCTTTATTCAGCAATCTGAGGACTAAGCTGTCTTGTGGTTAGTGCTAGCTTTTCTTTCATTCACTGAAGTCTGGAATGGTGCCATGGCTCAGTCCATGGTATCTGCTTGCTGGAGAATGCATACCAGTAACATAAGCAAAAGGAATACAGCTTGGGATGGTGTTTTAAAATCCTCAAATACTTCCTTTGCTGCTTTCCAAGGAAGCAAAGATTATAATTTATACAATAACTAGGCTTGCTGTGGCCTAAAGTAAACCTGACTATTTGGCCAGAGGTTCCAAGTTTTAGTCCATGTCCAGACGAGCACAGCCATGCATCTGTGGCTCTGCAGATACAGTATGTGGTGCCACATACTGCATGCTCAGTTGCCCTTCACACTGCAAGGAAGCAGCATAAAGGGGGTCTTCAGCAGTGGGGGGGGGGGGTTCTTGTGTTTTCTCCCTTGCCACCCCATGGCTTCCTCCCCTACCCCACCCAGGATAACTTGCAACATGCCAGAGTGCACATAGTACAGGCAGTCCCTGGGGACAACCAGCACTGGCACAAGGCACACTGCTGTTGGCTGTCTCCAGGGAACCAAATGTCTGCACATCTGGATCTGGCCATATAGTTATATGAGCTTTTGGTTTCCCTGACTAATCTGACAGCTGGGATTGATACTATAACCCATTTAACCTTTCAGTCTCCTTCTCACAGTGGTGAGGCTGCTTAGAAAACTTATTTTTTGGTAGAATCTGTCAAGCTGACACACAGCCAGAATGTTCCTTTCATTTTGATTAACTTGCTCAGTCCATTTATCCTGACAAACCCTCTCCTTTGGGCAAGCTGCCTTGGTATCTAGTTCCCTCTTCTACACTACTCTGAAACTACTACATGCTTTGGTAAATGCTACTATTTTACCCAATTGCTTTTGAGAAGCATCTTGGCAAGTTCTAATTGCCCAGATAAGTAGCTCATCCCTAAGGAGCTTGTTTTTTCCTTTTTAAACAGCTATCAAACTGTTTGATCACCCCTGCTTTTTGTAGATTAGACCATAGTTCTTGGGCTTCAGGAAAAGGTGACAAGTCCTCTGGTAAAAGAACAGGTTGGGGGGGGGGGGCACGCTATTCAGAAAAGCTGGACATGTACATGCACCTGAGGAGCTGGCTAATGTGATTGCAAAGCAGCTGGCTGCTTTTCTCTGAAATCCATGGTCTCCCTCAATCACCGTGAGTTAACTAGAAAAAGCAAATATAATGCCCGTCTTTGAAAGGGAAGAAAGATCCAGGGGATTAGACTGGTCAACCTCACCTTGGTCCCTAGAAAATTCATGGAGCAGGTCCTCAAGGACTCCATTTCTAAGGACTTGGAGAAGGTGGTGATCAGGAACAGCTGTCCTAGATTTACCAAAGGGCAAGTCCTACCTAACTAATCTGATTGCCTTCTATGATGACTGCCTCTGTAGATGTGATGTATCCTGACTTCAGCAAGGCTCTTGATGCAGACTCCCACAGTGTTCTTGCAAGCAAGCTAATGAAGTATGGGTTGGATGAATGGACTGTAAGGTGGATAGAAAGCTGGCTGGGTTGTTGAGGGATCAATGGGTAGTGATCCAGTGCCTTGCAGTCTAGTTGACTGCAGTACCAAGTAGAATGCCCCATGGGTTGGTCCTGGGGCTAGTCTTGATCAATATCATTCATTTAATGATCTGGAAGATGGGATGGAGTACACCCTCAGCAAGTTCACAGATATCACCAAGATGAAAGGAGGAGTAGGTATGCTGGAGGATAGGGCTAGGGTTGAGTCTCCTTGTGGCCTAATCCTCCATTTTTCCTCTAGAAGTCTCATGAGGTTCAACAAGGACGAGTGCAAAGTTTTGCTCTTGGGACAGAAAGTCCTATATATTGCTACAGGTTTGGAACCAACTAGCTAAGCATCAACTTGGGAGAAAAGGACCTATGGGTTACAGTAGATAATCTGGCATCCTGGGCTTCATTAGTGGGAGCATTGCCAGCAGCTCAAGGCAAGTGATTCTTCCCTTCCATTCTGCATTGGTGAGGCCACATCTGGAGTGCTGTATCCAATTTTGGGATGCCCCCACTACAGAGAGGATGTGGATGAGCTGGACAGTCCAGCAGAAGGCAATAAAATTCCTTCAGGATTTGGGAAGGTGAGGCTGACTAGACTGCTTGGGGGAGGGGTATGCTAAAAATACTCGAGTGCCAGGATTGTGGATAAGAAAAGCTCAGCCCTGGGGTTGTGCTGGTAACTGTACAGAAGCTCAAAGAAAAAAGGCTGACCCAATCCAGTTTAGACCAATCTAACCTTTCTGGAACTTCTCTGCAGTTTGCACTTGAGTGAGTCTAAGTATAAGGTCTGCACTAGGGTGAACCAAGCTGGATTGGCTGGCCACTTTTAATATTATCTAACCTCTCCAAACATCTGTATGAAGCTTTATTTGGCTTCAGAAATGGAAGAATTTTGCCAGGAGGTGGTTCTGTTTCATAAAACTGACTCGTGTGTCTGTGGCTTCTGGTAATGATGTCTTTAAGATGCTTGAAATCCAGTCTTACTAGGCAAAGGACTAGACTTATACTAGTATAGGTGAGAACTAAAACAAGGTTCATCTAGAAATTGCTCATGTTTTAAGATTTCTGGTAATCCAAGACTGACTCTCTCTTTTTAGTTAATCCTAGAACAGTCTCTCTTAAAGCTATTCAGAGCTCGGTTTATGGAACTTAATTCTGAACTAAAACCCCTAACGGCTAGCAAATGAGCTGGGCTGCCAGGGTTGAAGCCTTTCCATCCTCACTGCAACACTGAAATGATGCAGTACACCGAAGACCTGACTTCCACCTCTTAGGCAGCCAAGCAGCCCTGGGTGCCCAATACCTACTCTTCCACCCTGTTTAATCCATCTTCATGAGCTTTATCCATCTAACATTAGATAAGAAGATGTATTAATGCATCTAGTAATTCAGATGCTTGCACTTTTTGTGATTTATAAAAAAAAAAAAAAAAAAAATTTGGGTACTGCCCCCAAGTGGCTGAGGGACCCTACCACTTGCTCCTGACTGGCAGGAAGGCAAAAACCATGATTTTTAAACATGGTGCTTGTTGCCTCCCCATCTAGTCAGCAAGAAGCAGCAGGGCCCCTCAACCAGTCGGCAATGACTGGGAGGGGACCTGCAGGGGAACCGGCAAGGATAAAGGTGCTGCTTCCCAGCCCACTTCTGCTATGAATTTGGTCAGTCCCTAGGTACTAATGTCACTTGTGAACAGTTTCCTGTTGCAAGCCATTTGTGCACATCTAGCTGTGGGTGTACCATATGAACTTGTAGAGGTGTCTAGATATGCAAAGTCATGTAGCCTTTAGGAAAATTTCAGCTTTCTGGCTGTAGAGAGATCAGGGACAGGACTAGAAGTCTGTTTGAAACTAGTAGATGCATTCCCATATTGATGGAGCCACAAATGTCTCAATGAGGAGTACTAAAACTGCAGAAATAAATAATGCTCTAAATTTACAAATGAGTCCCTACACTCTTCCATACCTGAACCCTTACTTGATTTCTATCTAGGCATCCTTGAAAATGGCTAAATTTAGTTGTAGCCATTTGCCTGCTTCCCTGGGACAGTTTCTTCATTCTAGCAGGATTAGTGGTCCAATTTGCCTGATGCTTTCTAAAGCAACATGGTATATAGCAAGAGACTGGGCTTGAGTGAAGTGGCCCCTCAGTCATTTTTCCCAAAGCTGCAACCTTCAACCTTGCTTGGCCTCTGTACAAGTTTTTATCTGTATGGTTGACCTTGACTTGACTATGCTCAAACCTCCTACAAACAGCAGGCAGCTGTCTAGCTGTTTGATTAGTATTAGATCACAGATGAAGCATGTAAGGGCCACAGCCTGCCCTAGCAAACTGGCATCCACATGCCCTCCTGTAGACTATAGTAAACTCAGTTGCTTAATTTATACTTTAGTTTGCATCTGCTCTAACTGATACTAGTTTAATAGTAATTTTTCTCTTTCTTTCTAAAGGTAAAATTATGCCTTCTAACTGACTATCTGGACTTACGATTGCACAGCAAGTGTTGCTTTCTCTAGTGCCTTTTGCAGTTGTGAGGGGTGCCTCCATCTCATGATGTCTAATGAAGTAGAAACAGCTAATGTTGGCACCCAGCCTGACCAACAGGCAGTGCCTAAAGCACAGCCTTCAAAGAAGGAAAAAAAGAAAGGTAAGATAAAATGAAATGCATTACTTGTAAGTGTGTATATTTTGAGGGGGGGGAGGGGCTCTGCCTTATACTGGGGTTAGGTCCAGGACTGCAGCATAACATGAGTAACTTCACATTGGACTGGCACACTAGGCTAGCTGTAGACTTTAAATTCCAATCTACCAATACCTTTCTTCAAACCTACTGAGCACCTAATGCTTCCAATTTTGTCAGGAGACAAAGATCCTGCCAGACTGAGAAGCACCAAATGCAAACAAAATATGCTTGTTCTCACTGGAGAATGACCAGATCAGTGTTTGTGGTCATACAGGTGCCCACCCACACTGAACTCTCAAACAAGCTGAGCTATGGGCAGCTTCTTCCTAGCTCATACTGATGAGAACATGGTCTCATCTACAGAACAGACATGTGGCTGATCTCTTCTGGGTCCCCATAAGTATCAAGATCCCTAGGGGTAGAAGAGAAGACTAAATAAAAATACAAAAGTTCTGAAAGCAAGGTAGAAACTAACTAGGTACCCAAGAATATGGATAAAGCATGAATACAGCTTGACTCTTGGCTCTTTCCAAACCAAAAAGCCTGAGTGGCGGAGCTTTGGTTCCTTCAATATGATCTGAAGGACCAATTGTTCCCTTATACCTGTGTACCAACCTTTCTTCCTCTATGATATGAGGAAAAATAGAAAAATTTCTAACTGAATGCTTTTACATCTAATGAAAAAAATGTTAAAGGCATAACAAGCTTCAGTTGATGCCTAGAAGTTCAACATCTAAAAAAATACTACTCTTCTAACACTTGAATTGAATTAATCATGTAGCAAGCAAGGTGCAAGACTGAGCAAAGGCTGGTAGCACTCTGTAATACTGGGGAAGTATGGGTGAAGTTGGTTGCTGCAGGCCACACTATAGAATAGTTAAGCATCTAGCTTAGGCTAGCAGTAGCAAATACTGCTTGAATAGTGTCATTAAACATAGCAAACTTTTGCTGCATTCATATGTGGGGCTTGGCTGGCAGTTGCTTTAAATTGCTGTACTGGTCTGAGACTTTGACTTGCTAGAAAAGTTCTATAATAGTTTGGACCATGCATCTTAAACTCCTTTATCTTCCTTCAGGGTCAGAAAAAACTGATGAATTTCTCTTGGCCCGATTCAAAGGAGATGGTGTAAGATATAAAGCCAAGCTTATTGGTATTGATGATGTCTCAGAAGCAAGAGGAGACAAAATGAGCCAGGATTCAATGATGAAGCTAAAGGTAGAGGCCTGAACTGCTCTGATCTATTTCCATACCATGGGCGCTCAAAGCTAGAGGCAGGTCCAAAGGCACAAAATTAAAGACTAATATATCTCATCCTGAACAAACAAGGCCTCAAAACTGGCCACTTCTCTCTTTTTAATATAAATTGTCCTTGCTGTGGTCCACATGCACTTGGCTACTTCATCTTTGATTTGGATCCTCCAATACTACTTGTATTGGTAAATGGCAAACATTCTTTTGGGGCTTTTTTCCTATAGAAATCTAGAATATCTAGTCAAACCAGCTCAGTAAGCCAACTTGCTGATAATCTGAAACTAATTTCTACTTGTAGCTAAAATCAACTTGTGCCTGACCCAGCACAAGAACAATGCTCTACAGGTTGCAGCAACAAATCCTCGGGAACATAGCCTTGGCTTCCATGCTTTGACTACTATGTGGCAACAGTACACATTTATGCATGCCAAGATGAGTAGAGAAGTAGTACAAATTTTAAGTGCTCATGACTGCCTTTCCCTCTTTGGGGGAGGAAAGCATGTGCAGGAAAGTACACTCAAGCTTGTTTTAACTGCAGCTAGGTCTGAGGTGGATATGGATGTGGCTTAGTAAGGTTACTAGAGATGTTCTGGTTCTAATGTAGAAACCATTTACAAGCTCAGCTCTGCATCATGTTGAGACATGCAATATCTAGCACAAACTGCTATTTTGAAACTATTATGCTTTTGTGCAAAGCCAAGACTAAGCTGCAAGTCCATTAAAACAAACTTGAATACTTGAGCTTCAGCTTATGCAACACCTTTTTTTTGTCACGCTATATTAATACACTAATACCAGTGCCTCTGCCCTATTAGGGAATGGCAGTAGCAGCACGTTCCCAGGGACAACACAAACAGAGGATCTGGGTGAATATCTCCCTCTCTGGTCTCAAGATAATTGATGAGAAAACTGGGGTAAGGCTTCAACAAACAAACTTACAATAATTTTTAATATGGGTTGTAACCACTAGAACTAGCATACTTCTTCACTTTAACCTGATGGGTCTAAAGGTTTGTTTCTTTTTCCTATTGTCTTCTATTTCTGTTCCTAGAATGGGGGAAGAATAGCACTCCAGTATCTGGAAGCAAGCTTACCTTCCTGTGTTACATTTTGCATAAAAACAATCCTTTTGCTTTTGGGGGCGGGGGGAAATAAATAAAATAAAACATGGTGTTGGCCAGCCTGCCTCACCTTGTATGTCTGTCTCTTATCAGTGTTTGCTTTTGCTCCACAACTTGCTTTCAGCCTTATTTAACTACTTCTAAGTGGCAGAGTACTTACTACTTTGCCATCACCAACAGTTGTGTAGACTGAGCATCTCAAACCTGGTGTCTGAACAACATTTTCATGTTCCAGGTGATAGAACATGAGCATCCAGTCAACAAAATCTCTTTTATTGCTCGGGATGTGACTGACAATCGTGCATTTGGTTATATTTGTGGAGGAGAAGGCCAGCACCAATTCTTTGCCATAAAAACAGCACAACAGGTATGAATCCCGGTCTTGGGCACTGGCACATTCTCACCATTTTGGTGAGAGATGCTTACAAGCACATGCTATTTGATACGATTCCATCAAAATGACAGCCTTGTGTCTGACATGAGGCTATCTTTTTTTTTTTCCCCCCCCCCCCCCCCCCCCGAATGGAATTGGTGACTCTAAGCTAAGCCTTTGTTTAGAGAAACATACTGTACTAACTCAATGCTCTGTAATGAAACATGTAAGTGTACTGCTCAATTTACTGCCTCCTAGGTTTTTGGTTTTTTGTTCTTTTTAACTTTTGCAAACATCCGACAGATGCGTTCTAAGAAGCTTAGGCTGCCACTGACACTTCAGGGTCTGGAGGAAGTTTCCTTCTCGGAATGCAGCAGGCCTGGGGTGGTGAGGTGGATAGATCTGCCTGCAACATACCATTTTGGGATCTAACTCAACCTGCCCAAGCAAATCTTTTTTTTTTTCATTTTTTTTCAAAGAATGAAAATGATAGTAATGACTTCATGCCTGAGTGTTCCTATACTAGGCAAGCCTCACCCACCAGTTCTACTATGTCTCAACCTTCCTTGGTTTTCCTCACTAACTACCATGTAGTAGAGGCACAGTAGATGTAAGAAGCACCATTCTCTACTCTGGGCACTTTAAAAGGCAGAACAAGCACCACTACATCAGAATTGCCATAAATAGTTTTTCCTAGCAAATGGTGAAATAAGTCCTCAGTTTTAACCCTAACATGACTTCTGCTGCCACTTATATTTAAAAAAATATATATATTTTTCCTATAGTAGTCTTTTTTTGGTTTGTTTTTTAAAGCCCTTACAGTAAACTCAAGTACTAGTTCAGTAAGTCTGGCTTGAAGTATTCAGAAAAAATGTCTAACTACAGGTCATGAACCTAAAGGCACCAGGAATCTTAATATTTTAATGCTTGCATTTTATAGGAACTTATTATCTTTTCTAGGCTGAACCTCTAGTTGTGGATCTTAAGGACCTTTTCCAACTAATTTATAACATGAAGAAAAAAGAAGAGGAGGATAAGAAAAAGGCATGTAAAGTATGCACTTTCAGACTATATAAGCTTTGGTTGTCAGGTCACCTGGAAGGTGACCTAGAGTGCTTTGATCAGCTAGTACTTCTCACTCTGCAAAATTAGCATCTAGAAACTGACACTGGATAATCACCTACCACATCAGTTGCTGTGGTGATGCCTGTGTATATCTTGATTCTAGATGCACATAACATCAGGAATAGTGACATCCTGTAGCTATGACCTACAACTAGGTCTTTTTTTTTCTTTTTTTCTTTCTGTTTTTAAATGCAGGTAAAGATGAAGGCTGACACTGGCCCTAATTGGACTTCACAGCAAATAAATAGTTGCTTTCTAGTACATCACTTACTATCTCCTCAGTCTGGCTAAGGATGTTGAACAGCTGGCAGGGGAAAAACTTGAACAGTTCTCTATAAAAGGGCATATCCCATCTAGATAACAGCTAATGCATATCATTTTTTTTTTCTCTCTCTCTCAGACTGAAATCAGTAAAACACTTGAGGTAAAAGCTACCTTGCAACCAAGTAATGCATGCCCTTCCAAACAAGGGGTTAAGTCCAGCTGTTTCTTTCCCCTATTTCACCCAGTGCTTATCTAGCAAGCATGTTCTAGAGGCTGTCTCCAAGCTTGCAACTGCTACTTTCAATCTTAATAACGAATATTGGGGCAACAGTAGAACGGTCTCCTATTTGTAGGAGTAAATAGTTTTCAGATAATCTGCTACTAGCTGACACCACACTGAAGAATAACTACTTTGATCTACTGACTTATTGTTGACCTCTGTGTGTGCTTCACTTATCTAGAATGGAGATACCTCACCTACTGATCAAGCTGATAAGAAACTGGTATGTTGCTACTCAGGCTTGTGCCCATGTTTGAGACTCGAGTATAAAAGTTCAGTGTAATATAGTAGTTACTTGATGTACATGGTCTCTACCAAACTGGGCTAGAAGTGTGGGGGGGGGGGGGGGGGGGGATTTCTTTAACACTACTTAGCCTGGTGTTAAGCAGCAACTTTTAGTACCAAATCTAACCTCTAACTTTTTTTTAAGGGTGTTGACCAGATGGACTTGTTTGGTGATATGTCTACACCTCCTGATGTGACCAGTCCCACAGTAAGTCATATCTTGTGAGATGGAACAAACCAAGATAAGGCTTTTAGCTTGTGGAACTGAGACCTCCCCATCTATATACTCAATTGGTTCACGGCAAGCAAGTGATTGCATGCTAGACTAGGCAAATACTACTTGATTGTGCCCAACTAGCTTCTTGCAGAAGAACCAAAGGCTGATCCACTGTTTATGATGACTATAGAAACAAAGGTGATACTAGTCATTAATTAATCCTGATGCAGTTTAGCTGGGCAATTGGATGTGTTGATACTGCCTAAATTGCCATGGGGTACTCCCTGCAGGAGTTGGGCAAAGATGTCATCTGAAAAAAAGGCTGTAGCTGGAGCCTACTATAAATTCTACAAGATTGACAGTGGAAGCCAACTAGCAAATTGATCCATTGAGCAAAACTTACTACCTGCTTAAAGTAACATGATCTGCTCATTGACATATCAACTTGGAAGTACTTCTTACTGTTCACTGCCTAACAATAAAACTCCATCAGCCTCTTAAGGGTTTAACTTTTAGTTTCTAAAGCAAATATCTTAAGACTGAAGCTTGTGGCTAATTCCACAAAAATCTAAGATGAGTGGATGGTTAGAAATGTTACACTAGTAATATAGCTTATTTATTTGGGGTTCTTTTGGGGGGCAGGGGGGGTTGTGCTTGAAAGGTCCTTGGCTATATGCCCACCACAACATTTGAACCCACTACTGCAACTTCAACATGCTAATATTGCAGATGTCGAAGATCAGTGTGCATTTGGGAATATTAAATGCAGCAATAGCTGGCTGAACTGCAGCTGTATACCTAAGCTAGGGACAAAAATAACTTGCAGACTAGCCACTTTCAAGATGTCCAGTTTGATCATATGCTAATGTGCTGGAAACTTACAAATTTAAACCAAAGTCCCCTTTTTTTTTGTTGTTTTTTTTAAGATTAACCTGGATTGATGTAGTAGCAGACAAACCAGTTTTAATCTAACCCAGTTCAATTGAGTTAACTGGGATCTGGGACAAGTTCAATCTCCCAGGATGCTTTGCACCTCTTGCATACCCCCTTGCCTCACCTAGGCAGAATAGCCTTGACCCAAGCTGTCTGCTCCAGCTGAGCAGGGAGGCATGCTTTTGCATGCCTGGCTTCTGGCCTGTCCCACTGCAGGCATGTTTCTGGCATCAGCAAGTAAATACACATCCATTCTTTACTGGTTCAACCTACAGCTTAGACTAACCTGCAAAGACTGAATCAATTTGGCTTTGGGCTTCTTGACTGCTTGGACAATAACAGCTGTTCATGAAGCTTTTCCACTCAATAGGAGGGCTCTAAACATGTAGGTCTTTCTTTGGGTGGGGTTTTTTTGTCTTGTTAGTATTTCATTGTTTCCTGTAAAAGCTCATTGGTGGGAACCTAGTGGATTTTTATCACTCCTGCACAAGTTTTTAACAGTCAACTTTCCAGGTATTTCTGAGCTCGCATCTTTCTACTGCTGTTGGAGAATGAGCTGTTTAAGAACTGTAGGCATATCTGCTGAATTTGATAATGTCACTCTAGAGGTGGGTGGGGATTCCACTTAAGTATCTCTAACAACTTCTCCATCTCCTTGGTCAAAATAAGGAGTTCTGATTGCTGATGTACACTAATGCTGTCCCTCAAGCCCACAATGGCTGCCTGCCTTCATACTGAAATATAAAACTAGTTTATATTGGCAGCGTTCTTGGATGCTGCAGCACTAATGGCACATTCCAACAGTACCGTTGTAATGTAACTAAAATTGGTGCCCTAGTCTCCTAGACAATGGGAGAACTCAGTCCAAGAGACCTCCTACAGACTACTGCTGGAATGAGGCAATGTAAAAACAGGGCACTCTGTAGGCAGGTAGATAAATAAACAAACTGCCTCTTCTGGGTGTAACATTGCTTTCATACAAATATATGAAACTTCAGAGCAATGTAGTGGAAGTGGCATTGCACAGCTAAGGAACCAGGCTCTTTCTGGGGGTGTAATTAAGTGACCTAAGCTCTAAAATTGTATGTCCTGATGGCCTTGTATGAGACATGCAACAAATTAGGTGTTCTATACTCCTGGAATAAGCATTTCAAGCTTGATAACTGCTAGAAAATTTTAATGGGTTGGACTATTTAAACAGCACAAAATTTAATATAAAACAGAGATTGCCTTGGTCTCTAGTTCACATTTTAACATCTAGATTGTTTTATATCCCTTGCTGCGTCATAAACAATGAATACATTTGGCTTGGAGTCTGAGATTTTTTTTTTTTTAAAACAATCTTGAACTAACTTTCCTCTTTCTTTCCGAACTAATAGGAAACTAAAGAGATCCTGTTAGTAGATCTTGAATCTGAAATTGAGAGCAGTAAAACTTGTATAAAAGAGGAGGATCTCTTCTTGAATGGCATCGCATCTCTTCCACGACCAAAGCCACAGCCATCTTTCTTGCCTGAAAGCTCTCTTTCTACCAATCTCAGCTTCTTTCCTACACCTACTCCAGATCCTTTCCGTGATGATCCATTTGCACAAACAGACAAATCTGTACAGCCTGCATTTGATTCTTCTCTAAAGCCTGCAGATCAGAAGAAGGAAAGTCTGAGTGGCTTGACTGTTCCAGTGGGGAATGGTGATATTGACTATTTTGGTAAACAGTTTGACCAGATTTCTAATAGACCTGGCAAACAGGAAATGCAGACAAGCCAGTGGCCTTTTGAGAGTAAGCAGCCTGCAGCAAGAACACCAAATGGGGTACCAGAGAGAGAACAGAATGGCTTTCTTGCCAAATCTCCAGTAACTCTGTTGGCAGAAAGCCATGTCAAGGGAGTATCCCTTCACAATGGAGTAAAGCTGGACTCTGAAAGCAACATCCAGCTTATGTCGCATGACTCAATAACAATAAGCCCACCTCCACAAAGTACCAAGCCAGGAAGAGGGAGGAGGCCTGCCAAGGTGAACCATTTTCAAACTTCTAATAGTAAAGTGCATGCTGCTCTTAAAGTCTGGGTGAAGGAAGCTTTCCTCTTTCTTGATGTGTTCTGTTAACAGTAGCTAAAATGCCTCGCAGCACAAATGGAAACCTTAATTCTATTCTACCTAGCTACCCATACTAACCCTTCTGCTGTCATGCTGCTTTCTGATATCATGTCTAATTACTAAACATACCCTGTCTTTCTCTTTTAATGCTGCCATACTTCACTAATTGTGGTAAGTGGTGTATGTAAGCTCAACTGAAGTAAAAGCTACAAAATTAATCTAGAACACTCCAGCAAAATTCAAGGAATGTGCATCTGGCAGTACAGCACCTGAAGCCCTCCTACCAAAAACCTTGCTTTCTCAACAAAATTACAGTATCTACTAAGTCTCTTTCTTTTCTTAATATATATTAAAAAGTACCTGTGTGCTAAAGTTTGAGGATGTTGCATGCCTTCTATTCAAGTTAATTCAAAGCATGCACTCTGCCAACTTATGGTTTAAATTCATGACGGTGTCTTTGTTTCTAAAGTTAGTTTGACTTGCTACATGCATTTGTGCTTAGAAGTGTGCATTAAGTTGATAGAACTCCAAATGCTGGGGTTTTTTTGGTGTTTTGGTTTTGGTTTTTGTGTGTTTGTGGCTTTTTTACTAGTCTCTACAGGGTGCCTGGGTGAATCTCTCTATGTCCAGCATGCCTACTTCATACACTGCCAGTGCCTGGGCTTTAAAGCAAACCAGGCCTAATCTTTCCTCTTTCCC